TTGAAGAACTGATTTATCATACCTTTAAAAAGTAATAACTATTTATGTTATTTATTATATCTGACTATTTATTCCAGTGAAGCCTCTATATTGGAAGTCAGAAACTTGTTTTAATGGTAAATTTTAACCCTAACAAGTAACCCTGGTGTCTCTCAATTTGTATAAGATTTTTTTAAAAAAATACCTACTTAAGTAATGGAAAAATGTCCATAGTTAAAATATATTATAAAATAAACACGTGTGCAAATGTTTTCACTACTTGACTATGTCCTCCTGTAGTATATTACAGTAACGTATTTGGATAAGTAAGAAAGTAATGCCTCCTAATTTTATCTTCCTAGTCAGTTGCCAGCAGACTAGAGGAAAATAATTCCTGTTGAAGCACTTGAATCACCTGCCCCTAACATGAAGTTACATTGCGAGCCAACAGATGGAAGCACAGCAGAGGGCATGCAGAATGGCTTATGATATGTCTTACATATAAAGCAGACAGTGGTGCCATATCCAGAAGGTTGGCTTCTTCCTTCTCAGCACCTTAAACAATCCCCACAGTGCCTCATGGAATTATTTCAAGAATAAATACTAGATACCTCAGAGAATTATGAACATAAATCAGCCTTTGGCCTTCTGCAACAGGGGATTCCATCACTCTCTACTTTGTGTGTTTGCCCATTTGGCACTAATTATCTGCCCTTGATGTTTCTGCTATATATTTCAGTGGAACTTTAAGGCTAGAGAGACTTCAGAATCAAATATTCCCTTTTGAAACATTTTGACAGTTGCCTGTGGCTTTCTAGAAGTTAAAATTAGGAAGCTGCATTTTTCTGAATAACCTTCAGAGATGATATACTTTCTTACTTGAAAGACAAGGTCAAACTCCTTCATGTAATAGTGTACGTGAAAACTGGTTTCTTTCATTATGAACAATTAGGGATTCAGTATACAATTTAATTTGAAGACAGCAAGCATTAGTTGTTAAATGTTTTTGGGGTTGTTTGGTTTGGTTTTGTTTTTTTGAGACAGGGTCTCACTCTGTCACCCAGGCTAGAGTGCAGTGGCATGATCATAGCTTACTGCAGCCTCCAGCTTCTGGGCTCAAGCAGTCCTTCCTCCTCAGCCTCCTGAGTAGCT